AAGTGATGATAAAATCACTTTGAAAATATAAATGATAATTTGATCCCTTGAAATGCTATAATTCTCTTAAAGTTTTTAAAAATTTTTCTGTCATTAATAAATTTATATAAATTATCCAATTGTCTTTGTTAAAAATAAATAATTCATAACTTTTCTTCTTATATTTGTAATTTTCTTTCCTAAATTCGCAATAATGTAATAGCAAATCATAACTTCGTATATTAAATTCCTTATTTATTGTTGCATTGTTGCAAATATAAGAAGAAAAATTGTGAATAGAAAAATAAAAGTTGTGAATCATTTATTTTTAACAATGATAATTTAATATTTTATATAAATTTATTAATGACAGAAAAATCTCTAGAGACTTCAGGACAATTATGGTATTTTAAGAGATCAAATTATTATTTATATATTTCAAAAAAAGTTATATTAAAGAGTTGTCCCCAAAATATTTTTTGAGGAGTAACCAGCAAATATTTTTTGACGAGTAACCAGCACCCTAACATTTTTGTTGGAATAATTTTGCCCTTAATGTTATCAAAATGAAGCATTTTTACTCTTTCCGTCAAATTTTCAATGCTGACCTCAAACATTGACAGTTAAAAAATTTAACAGAAAGGGCAAAAATGTTTCATTTTGATAACGTTAAATGTAAAATTGCTCTAATAAAAATGATAGAGTTGGGTGCTTTTTGTAAAATACTTTAAAATAAAAATGCACCTTTATCCTATATTAAATGAAATATTTTTTAAAAATTTATATTTTTATTTTGAAAAAGTAAATTTGTAAAGTACTATCATTATTAAATTTTATTAGTATATATAATCTTGTATTAAATTGTTTTATAATTTAAAATGAAGAGATTAGAGCTTTGCCAAGAGTTTTAATGTGTTTCACGTCCACGACACGCTTTAATTTTTCAAACCTTGACTCAGTCTTCCCCCTGTCATTCGCCTTTCTGCTTAATTATTAATTATTAAATCCTCTACTTTTCCACATTTGACATTCACAATCTTTCATTCTTTTCTCACTTGTTTCCTCCATATATCCTTTTCAAAACTTGTATTCACTTTAGTTTCACTGTTAAGTATTCGGCAATTTAATTTATAATGTGATTAGCTCGACATTTATTTGACGATATTGACAACTGTGAGGATTATTACTTAAGGACCTAATAAGATTGGCATTGATAAGAATCTGTGAACCATGTTACGTTGAGAGAAGGACACATGTCTCGTTCATCTTCTTGGTCTTTAATTTTTGTCTTATTGTTAAGTAAACTGCCAGGTCACAGATCATCCACTTGTGTGTTCCTTGGAAGAGCAGATTGCAGCACTTAATTCCCAAACAGGAAACCTTCAAGCAATATTTTACTTGAAACAATCATAGACTCAACTTATATTTTCTGAGCGAAGCAGCTTTTTAGAGGAATGGTTCTACCAGTTTATGTGTTCTTCTTCTTCTTCTTCTTCTTCTTTGCTGACCATGTTCTTTTTCTCTCTTCTTCTTCTGTAGAGTGTCCAGATTTCTTTGACTGTGGAAATCTAGGCAAGCTCAAGTTCCCTTTCACTACTCCACAACGCAAAAACTGTGGAATGTTGCCAATTCATGGCTGCGAAGACCTCAACGCTAACAAGACTGTGCACTTCAGTAAAAAAGAGTTTCAAGTGAGGAGTATAGTCCAATACCACATTTTCAATACCGTTTTCCTTAGAGACCCAGAATTACAGAAGCGTTTGGAAAATGAAAGCTGCGACGTCTTCTGCTGCAGTATTCCTCTTCCTCCAAGCACAGCCTTGGGCTATTTTCAGATCTTTCCATATGAACTAACAATGTACAAATGTAACAGTAGTAAGCCAATCAAAGTCAGCCCGCCTTCAAAGCAATTTTTGAACTATTCAGGATGTTTTAAGAGTAAGAATGAGATAATCTTCTTCGGAACTCAAAATCAAGATGATCCCCAACCTTCTTTTAAAGCATGTCAAAGGATTCAGCTTCCAGTGAATAGGCTGTCTTTTTTTTTTTTTTTCCTGGGGATTTATTTAAATTCATAGCTTCTGAATTCCCTCTTGCAATTCAACTTTCTGATGACTGTAAACAGTGTCTTTATAAAAGAGGCTTATGCCAACTCAACAGCAATGGAGGATTTTTTTGCTTCAAATCCAAAGGTATGCAAAACATACATAGTATGAAAACTGAGAATTTATCAGGTATAACGAGTTACATGTGAGATATATTGACTCCTTTTTAGGTGGTATGCCTATACATTTTATTCATCCAATATAATTAACTGCAATACTAATTAGTCTGTTAAATATTTGCATCTATCAACTGGAATAGAAGATCAGGAAAAAAAAGACGGGCTTCCATGCGGAGACTGATAACAGGTAATTTTACTCCATGTTCAGCTACCTGCTTTCCTACATGAAAGAAACAATAAAGAATCATTAATTGTGTGAAAAGTTTGAAGCAAATCTTCCCTTTTCAACCAATCAGGTGTTGGAGTGGCATCAGGGATCCTAGTATTAGCGTTGGCCTTCACCTTCCGACACTACAAACAGACACAGAAAAATGCTCTGTCCCATGTTCGACTCCAATCAATGAATCAGCATCCGAATGAACCAGATCCAGCCAGTGGAAGACTCCTCTTTGGAGTTCCAATCTTCTCCTACAAGGAGCTCCAAGAATCAACCAACAACTTTGACCCCTCCAACAAACTTGGAGATGGTGCCTTCGGCTCTATTTACTATGGTCACATTCTCTATTACTCTCTCCCCATTTCTTGTAATCTTGTGTTTTCTTTTATAAATTTCCAAACTTTAAAACTATTTCATTTGTAAGGAAGCTTCAAGATGGGCATGAATTTGTAGTGAAACATCTATTCTGTCACAACTACAAGCAAGTAGAACAATTTATGATTGAAGTTGAGATTCTCACTCACTTGTGTCACAAGAACCTTGTGTCCCTTTATGGCTGCACTTCATGTCAAAGCCGTGAGCTCCTCCTCATCTATGAATTCATCCCAAATGGCACCCTAGTAAGCCACCTTCGTGGTCACTCTACAAATCCTTCATTGTTGACTTGGCCCATACGCATCAAAATCACTATAGAAACTGCAAGTGCCCTGGCTTACCTTCATGTTATTGGAATCATGCATCGTGATGTCAAAACTAACAAAATTTCCTTGACAACAATTTTTGTGTGAAGGTTTCAAATTTTGAACTTTCTAGATTGTTCCGTGAAAATGTGTCACATGTTTCTACAACTCTTCAAAGAACTCCAGGTTATCTAGATTCTAAGTATCATTTTTGTTTCAGGCTCACAAATAAAAGTAATATATATAGTTTTCGGGTTGTGTTGATGGAGTTGATATCTTCAATGCCTGTGATTGATACAAGAAGGAATAAAGATGAGATTATATTGGGGAGTCTTGCAATGAGAAAGATTTGGAGAAATAAATTTGAGGAGCTAGTGGATCCACATTTGGGGATTAGCAAGGAAAGTGAGATGAAGAGGAAGGTGGTTATAGTGGGAGAATTGGCATTTCAGTGTTTGCAGATAAATAATGAGATGAGACCTTCCATTGATGTGGTTTTAGAGATTTTGAAGAAAATTGAAAGAGGAAAAGGAGAAGAAGATGATGATGCAAGGAATGATGGTGATGATGATAGTGGTGGTGGTAGTAGTGAAATTTCAAATAATAAAGCAGATATACATGCTCAACCCACAATGACTTCAATAAGCTATGATCATGCAAAGTTGTTCAAGTCATCATCTTCACCTAAAAGTGTGACAGTAAATTGGGGAAGTGAGTCTGGTAGTACTAATTTAAGCATTTAGTCTCAAAGTTGGTATGTAATCCATGGTCCTTGTTCCTAGATACTCTGTTTTATGGATGCATCTTCTTATCTCTCAACTTTTGAAGCTGAGTACATGATGTTGAATATTCATATTAAATATGAGCCCACTACAAAATTTTCATATTAATGTTACTGTCAATGTTTCTTGACTGTGTAGTTTTGAATATATTTAACATTTATAAGTAGAGTGAAATTTGGGTGGGTCAAATTTATTTGGTTGGCTTGAATAAACTCAAACATTAAAAACAAAAATCATATAGTCTAGTCCAATCCTAACAACTTGGGCTCCTAAATTTATTTAGACAGATCTGAATAGTTGAATACTTTGAGATTGTTTGTCCTATTTTAATTAATAGCCCAATCAAAATAGTCATTTATCAATGCATAATGTTCACAGAGGGCAAATATGTCATTTCATCAAAAAAATTAAAACAATAGACAAGTTTTTAAAGACTAAATAATAATTATTACAATTGACGATACTTAATTGTCATTTTCATATTTTAGGGTATTTTATTCTCCCTTTAATTAATCAATTAAGGAAGAGGGTATTATAAGATAGAATATAATACTTATTAATAAATAGTGTTTGTGAAAAGATGAGGTAGTCTTGACTTTTAAATATAACCATTAGTTTTCTTAGCTTGTTCAAAGTAGGTAGTTTTGTATTATAAAAAGGAAAAGGATTGAATAAAGTGCCACATATCACCTAATGGACCTAATATTAGTATTAATTAGAAATACACTTTGAATTTTTTTTTATTATCATGAAAGAAAGGAAAATATAACAAAGAAGGAAATACCAATAAAAGGAAAAAAAAAAGAAATAATAAAAAAGATAGTAATAAAAAAAATAAATTCTTTTTTTAATTAAAAAAATGCCTATGATGAAGAACCTTTTAATTTGTTGAGAGACTGAGGCGTCTCATTCAACTTCTTGGTCTACGTCAATAGTCAAAGTCAGACATGCATTCCTTCCAATTTCCAAGTGAACTGCCGTATCATCACAGCCCGACCTACATTGCGTTTGTTCCAACTATAACAAATTTATATATAAATTTCAAATAAGTTATTACCCGAAACGGTCATTGAGATACGCACTTCAGATTTTGTTCTGTGGGTGAGGATTTCAGAAGAATGGTTCTACCTCTTCATGGGTTCCTCTTCCTCTTCCTCTTTTTGTTTTGTGACCATGTGCTTCCTCTCTCTCCTGCTTCTGAAGAGTGTCCACGTTTCTTTTACTGTGGAAATCTGGGCAAGGTTTGGTTCCCTTTCACCACTGCAGAACACAAAGACTGTGGAATGTTGGCGTTTCATGGTTGTGAAGACCCTAACGCTACAAAAACTGTGTACTTCTTCAGTGGAAAACAGAAGTTTCAAGTGATGTCTATAAACAACTTTTCTAAAAAGGTTTTAGTCCGAGACACAGATTTACAGAAGCGTTTGGAAAATAATAGCTGCGATGCCTTCTGCTGCAATATCACTCTTCCTCCACGCTCACCCTTGGGTCATTTTCAGATCCTCAAACCTATAACCCTTTACAAATGCAAGCTTAAAGTTAGTCCTCCAAAGCAATTTCTGAACTATAAAGGATGTGCCAAGGGTAGGAATGAGACGATCTATTTCAGAACTCAAGATCAAGATGATCCTTCACCTTCTTTAGCAGCATGTCCAAGGGTTAAGCTCTCAGCAAGCCGTGCTATTTTGCTATCTGGGGATCCATTTAAATTCATAACTCCTGAATTCTTCCTTCGTATTGAACTTTCTAATGACTGTCAACGGTGTCGTGATGGAGGAGGCTTATGCCGAGTCAAGAGCACAGGGGAATTTTACTGTTCCAGATCCAAAGGTCCGTGTCACTCACTGCCTGAAAAGTGAAAATTTCTCCAGCTTTAGCAAGTCACATGCGATATATATTTTTTCTTTTTCAGATACCTATTAAGTAACAACTTAACTCTGCATGTTTAACTGTGATGTCAGATAAAAGGCGGGCTTTGAAGCTGAAATTGCTGATTGGTAATTTTACTTCATTTTTAATCATTTTCGGCTCTCTGCTTGGCAATATAATCATTAGGATCCTGTATATATTATCATAGGTTGTTATAAAGTTATGAAGTTTCCAAGAAACAACAACGATAATCTTTGAGTGAAAAAATTAAGTAAACATTCCCTTTCAAAAGGAAGAGTTTTAATTAGCACTTGAAGCTTCGACAGGTTTTGGAGTGGGATTGGGGATCCTTGTACTAACGTTGGCGATCATCTTCCGAGGCTGCAAACAGAGACAGAAACATGTCCAACGCCGATCAACAAATCAATGTACGAATGAACCAGATCTAGAAAATGATAGACTCTTCTGCGGAGTTCCAATCTTCTCTTACAAGGAACTTCAAGATGCTACCAACTACTTCAACCCCTCCAACAAGCTTGGAGATGGAGGCTTCGGCTCTGTTTACTATGGTCATCTTCTCAACCATTGTCTTCCATCTCCTACAATCTTATGTTTCCATATCAAAATTTTCAGCTTTAAACTATCTCATTTATTTACAGGGAAGCTTCAAGATGGGAGTGAAGTTGCAGTTAAGCATTTATTCCATCACAACTACAAGCGAGTGGAACAGTTCATGGTTGAAGTTGAGATCCTTGCTCGTTTGCAACACAAAAACCTTGTGTCCCTCTATGGCTGCACTTCTCGTCAAAGCTCTGAGCTCCTCCTTGTTTATGAATACATCGCAAATGGCACTCTTGCTAGTCACCTCCGTGGCCACTCTGCAAAACCTACTTTATTGACATGGCCTACACGTATCAAAATCGCAATAGAAACTGCAAGTGCTCTAGCTTACCTTCATGCTTCGGGCATCATCCACCGTGATGTCAAAACAAACAACATTCTCCTCAACAATAATTTTAGTGTTAAAGTTGCAGATTTCGGACTTTCTAGGTTTTTCCCTGATGACGTATCACATGTTTCTACAGCTCCTCAAGGAACACCAGGATATCTTGATCCAGAATACCACTTTTGCTTCAGGCTAACAAATAAAAGCGATGTCTATAGCTTTGGCGTTGTACTCATGGAATTGATATCTTCAATGCTGGCAGTGGATATGGGAAGGAACAAAGATGAGATTACGTTGGCAAATCTAGCAATGAGGAAGATCCAGAGAAATGAATTTGAGGAGCTAATAGACCCATGTTTGGGGATTGAAAAGGACAGGGAGGCAATGAAGAAGGTGATTGCAGTTGGAGAATTGGCATTTCAATGTTTGCAGATAAATAATGAGATGAGGCCTTCCATTGACGAGATTTTAGAGATTTTGAAGAAAATTGATGAGAGTGATAATGCAAGGGAAGACGATGATGGTGGTTGTGCTAGAATTTCAAAGAATAAAGCAGAAATATATGCATGACTTATAGTGACTTCAACAAGCTTTGATCATGCAATGTTGTTCGAGCCATCATTTTCACCAAACACTAACTGCGAAATGGCCAAGTGATTCTGCTATTCCTAATTTCAGCATTTAATAATCTTTAAGCATACCGGTTATTCAATGTCCAAGTTGTTTTCATGTATAATTTCTTACCCCTCAAGAAGTTGGGTTGATTCTTGAATATTCATTTTAAACGTGAAGACATTGCAAAATTTTTATATATGCACACTAAAGTTTTAAAAAATGGATAGGTCATATTAAACTAATAAATATATTAAGTTCACAGTTTACTTAATTAAATCAGTTGTTAATAAATTAACATATTTTTTAAGTTTACCTATGAAAAAATGTTTATAAATATAAATATATACATGAGATTATTAGTTACAAACTTTTTAATTAAATGTAAATTGAAGCAAAAATTTAATACATGTTATTTAAATATAGAGATAAATAAATTAAAATACAAATATCGAGTATTTATCCATATATTAAGAAAAACGAGATTTTAGACCCTATGCGATACACAAAAGCATTAATCCACGCTATTTGAGAGAAATGGAAGGGAGAAGAGTGGAAGTTAAATTTTATTAATTTTTTCAAAAAAAGAACCAGTAACAATAATTATACTTTTTTTCAATTTCTTTAGCAACAACTATTAACTATATTTTTTTATTACTCGTACAGTATAAGAAGGTTTTTTAGTTATTAAAATATGGAAATTAAAAAACTCATTTGAAAAGATATATTAAACTGTGATGAAGAAAATGTTTATGGAGATTAAAAGATATCAAAGATCAATTAAAAAAAAGAAATTTATATTGGAGAGAAAAACTGTTCTACAATCTTCCAAGTTAATTATGATCATCAGACATTTTTTAGAAGTGAATTTATACTGAAATTTAAAATATTTTGATCAAGAAAAATTAGAAATAAATACTATGAATTTCAAATATGAAGTATATATGTTTGCATTATATATCAACCACTAATCATGGAGATTAACAAAAAAACCACCTAAGATGAGAGAAAAATAGAAAAAAAAACAAAGTTGTGAGCAGAGAGCGAAGGATGAGTGAGTCCCAAATCCTGTGGAATGGACAGAAGGAAGGGATTGGCCAAAAAAGAAAGAAAGAATGAAGAGATGATATATCTATACCTATATATGTGTGGTAGAGACAGTGTCACTCAGTAGCCACAACTATTATAAAAGGCATCTCTTATCAAACATTATTAGAAAAATTAGAAACCTCACTATAAAAGATTGGATGGTTATTTTTAATCATATTTATAAAGAAGCAAATTAAATAGATGGGCTGACAAAACATCATGTGACAACTTCGATATTACGATCTTATATGAACCACCGGACAATTGTAAAAGCTTATTGACTTTAAACATGACTAGATATTAATCTTTTTACACAAGTTGCCACTACAAAAAAATTGACTTTCAGTGGCAACATTTGTCACCACTGAAAACTAAAAATTACCGTTGAAAGTTGAGAATCTGCAGCGACATTTGTCGCCGTCGAAAGTCAAAAAGTCGCCACTAAAAGTTTTCAGCGGTGACAAAAAGTCGCCACAATGTCGTCGCAAGAGCTCTTGTCGTTGATTCAATCTGTGACAATAATAAAGGTCGCCGTTGAAAGTTGAGAATCGGCGGCGACAAATGTCGCCATAGAAACCACACATCAGCGGCGACTATTTCTGTCACCACTGAATGTTAAGTATCAGTGGCAACATTTGGTTCCAAGGAAGCTACTAAAAAGTCGTCACTGAAAAGTAATGTTAGTTCACTTATACACATGGCACCACGTCACTGTCCACGTGGCATCCCACATCATGCCACGTGGCGCCATGTCACCCTCCACGTAAGGCCCCACCTCACACCATATGGCACCATGTCACTCTTCATGTGTCGCTCTCACCACACGCCACGTGTCATCATGTCATCAATTTATATTTTCATTTTGAAAGTTGTCTCCTTTAAAGTTTGAACCCGTGACCTCCTCCTTTTGTGTTTAACCATTTTGCCACAAAGTTAGAATGAACCTGTAGTCTATTATTGTATAATTAAATATATATACACACATATATTATTAAACTATACAAACACACACATATATTAAATATTAAATATTATAAAATATCATTACTATCCTTAAATACTTCAATTTAATTCTTTTAATTTATGAAATTACAAATTAGATTATTTATTTTGTTTAAAGTAAACGATAAATATAATTGATACAATATAATTTGTATTATTTATTTTAATTTTTTTTACTTCTTGAGATTGTTATATTATTTATTTTAATATTCATATTTATAATTATAATATAAAAAATATCTAAGAATAAATAGTAAAAATACTGATGATTATACATTAGTAAAAAAATTATGAAAATGAAAACAATTAGCGATGACACTGAAAAGTTGCCGCTAATTCTCGACTTTCAGCGGCGACATTAAAAAATCGCCACTGAAACTTACAACATAATTTTTTTAAAAAAATTAAAAAATGCTAACAATCAACGGTGACACTAAAAAGTCACTGTTAATTCTCGACTTTCAGCGGCGATATGTATGTCACCACTAAAACTTGCATGTCGCCGTTGAAACTTGCGACATAATTTTTTTAAAAAAATTATAAAAATGCTGACAATCAGCGACGATACTAGAAAGTCACCGCTGATTCTTGAATTTTAGCGGGGACTTGTATGTCACCACTGAAACTTACAACATAATTTTTTAAAAAAATTATAAAAATTTCCAAATCTTTTACATTTATAACAAACTATTTATATTTTATCTTTTTTAAAATTATCTTTTCTAAAGGTTTTTCTATGTTTTTTCAGGAAATATTTTTTATGTCTCATATATCTTTTATAATAATATTATATATAATTTCTTTTTTTATTTTTCCTAGAAGGGGCTTGTATTTTTCTAACTCTAGTTTTATAATATTAATTATTTGTCCATATGTTAAAACAATAGAATTTATTGTTCTTCATTATAACTAGTAAAATAAAAGCAGAAGAAAATATAAAAAAAGAAATAGAAAATGAAATAGATAACACACCTTTTGAAATAAATCAACAAAGATACATGAATATAATATCACATATAACTTATAAAAAAATGATATTGCCAAGTAAGTTTAGTAACAAACAGAGAATATTCAAGAAATATAATATTCAAAAATTCTGTGAAAGAATAGGAAAGTTAGGCAGTGGTATTCCTATTAAGCCTAGGAAGAACAATATTAATAGAAAATAAAACTTGTAGAAATAGAAATATGAGATGGTTCGATAAAATATTAAAATCTAAGTCAAAAGGAAGAATAAGATAAGTCTTAAGAGTCTTAGTCTATAGCCAAATAGGAATAGTAAACCTGAAGGAAAAGTAGAAGAGGTAGAAATAAAGAAATACATTATAAAAGAATTGAAGAACAAATAGAAATCTTAAAAATAGAAAATAGAATAAATTAAATAAGAGAAAAATTTGAAAGAGATATTTGTGCAGAATATCCAAATTCTTTTTGAAATAGAAAAAGACACAATAAATCACGGGTGAAAAACAAATATGATTAAAGAAGAAAAAGAAAAGGCAAAAGAAAAACAAGAGTTGAATCTTGTCAAAAAATAATTTAAGCAAAAAAAAAAGGTAATTAAGTGAAGCAAATCAAAAGAGCTAATTTAACCATGATTTTTCTAAATTTCTATAAAATCAGAAGACTTTTTATTTTGCAGGTATTGAGTTAAATGGCCCTTTCTCTATCTCTTAATATAAACCTCTCTCCACTTGTAATATTACAAGATATGTATCTGTATCTATACATACATACATACATACAAACATACACACAATTTGGTTAAATAAATGGAAATGGAAATAAATTAAAACATAAATAAAAAAAATCATGAAATTGGTAAAATAAAATATATTTTTTCCTATGGAAAATACTTTAATCTATTTTTGAAAACACAAAAATTGAACTTGTCATAAAATTTAATTTCTAAAGCATAAGAAAGCTGACAATCAGCGGTGACATGCATGTCGCTGTTGAAACTTGCAACATACTTTTTTTAAAAAAGTTATAAAAATGCTGACAATCAATTGCGACACTAAAAAGTCACCGCTGATTTTCAACTCTGAAACTTATAACATAATTTTTTCAAAAAAATTATAAAAATGTTGACAATTAGCGGCGACACTAAAAGTCATCGCTAATTCTAAACTTTCAGCAATGACAGTAGATGTCGTCGTTGAAAGTGTGACTTTCTGCGGTGACATGCACTTGTCGTCGCTGAAAGTCTGACAATCAGCGACGACAGTAAAAGTCGCCGCTGAAAGTGGAGAATCAGCGGTGACTTTTTGGTGTCACCGCTAAAATTCATTTTTTTTGTAGTGTGCCATGGCCATATATTGAAAAAAAAATTATAATCGTACTGTTCATTTACAATTGGATGAACAGTAACAATTATTTTTAAAAAATTGTGTAATGAAAAATCATGTGGGGCCCACAAGAAAAAATAAATGTGGGACTTGTTATAAAAAAAATAATGCTAATAGATATGAGATTTATAGTAAAAATGATAGATATGTTACGTGATATTTGTTGAATGAATTTTATATCTGTACATATAAGATAATAAATTCAAGAACAAAATACAAATGTAAACAACATAGAAAGAGGCATGTCTTCTGCCTTCAGTATCTTGACATAGATAATTTCTATTGTTGATGAAACATAATCCTTATACTTACCCCAAAAAAATACATGAAGTAATAAAGTTGTTATTAATGCATAAAAATAGATTACGGCTTATAATAAAAATATTATTGCAATTATGTACCTCAAAATTAATCATATATGGTTGATGAATTTATTTTTCAATGTACGCCTCCTAAACATCTATTAGTCATTGAACTTCTTTTCATAGGCATATATATGATTAATAAATAGTACTATAATATTGAGTTTTTATTTACTTAATTTAAAATCATTATTTCATAATTATTTTTACTTTTGGCTATAATTGTAATCTATAAATACTATTATCACATAAATTATAGAGCATAATTCATTATATTACATGTTCCATTTTTCTATGCATGGGCCAACAAATTCTGAATGAGAGTAAAGTAAGCTAATTTTATTTTGCAAGATGTGGGAATAAGCTA